GTATGCTTTATGAGATTTAGGGTCTGACTTAATAACTTGTTATCTGCATTATGATGTTTCTGGTTTACTTTAGAAAATTTATGGTCTGCTTTAATAAAATTGTGGTATGCTTTATGAGGACTCTAGTATGCTTTATGAAATTTTTGGTCTGGATTAATAAAATTGTAGTCTGCTTTAAGAAAATTATAGTATGCTTTGATCAAATTGTAGTTTGCTTTATAAGGTTTCTGGTTTGCTTCAAGAAACTTATGATCTACTTTAAGAAACTTGTTATGCACTTTAATAAACTTATTGTTTTCTTTTAAGAAACTCGTGGTTTGCTTCAGGGGACTTGCAATATGTTTTTTTTTAGAATTCTACTATACTTCATGGAATTTGTGGTATACTTTTGAGTTTTCAGGTATGCTTTACGGACTTTATGGCGTGGTGAGCTTTGGGTATGCTTTATAAGCTTTCTGGTATGCTTATGGTATTTGTCGTGTAATTTGTTGTGTTTATGGTCTATATTTTATTTTTTGCTTCATAATACTTGTGGTGACATGTTAGATGCAAAATTAATGTGCAACGCCACACACATATTTGTAGGGTTGGTAGTCGGTCGGTATCTGGTATACCGGATACCGATAATCCGGTATTCAGAATATACCGGAAATAGGCATTGTACCGATGCCGGATGTTAACCGGTATACCGGATAATTGGTATTAAACCAGTATACCAAATACCGGGTAATAAATGGAGAAGACGATTAGCGAGGGGATGGCAAGGAGGAAGTCGACCTTTGACCTTGGCCCTGCTGGCTGTTTCAAGAAGCGGCGGCCGACGGCGTAGCTCTTTTCGTCGGCGACTGATGCTGGTGGTGAAGAGAAGAGGACGATGGAGATGCTGGGGGCGACATAACTCTCTTCATCGGCGGCTGCTGCTAGTGCTTGATGGCGAAGAGGAGGAAGTCGGAGATGCCTGGGGCTGGGGCTGGGGAGGCGAGATCGATTTTGGCTTCGGGAACTCATGCTAGCTGCTGGTGGTGAAAAGAAAAGGAAGACGGAGATGCAAGCAAGATGCCTAGGGGCGACGACCAGGGCTGGGGGCGGCAAGGCCCCCTTCGCCTTTCGGATTGAATCAGAGGAGAATGGAGGTGGAGCTCGAGCGCGGTGTTCAGCGGGGGAGGCAGCTGGCGAGGTCTATGACAATTTGGATTTAGAGTTTAGTTTACCCCCAATTCCCAAATCCGCTGCATTTTTTTAAAGTTTCGGTATTGCGGTATACCAATATATCGTCGGTAATTACTGCCAAGTATCCGGTATTGCCGAATGAAAAACTTCACGCCCGAATACCGATACTGTTGGTATTCGGTATGTTCGTATCCGGTAATACCGAATACCACCCCTACATATATGCTTACTTAATTTTTAATAATGATAAATGTGTCCCTCCTTTTATGAATCCACATTAATTGTGGTTAACCCATTGAAAAAAGTTATCAAAACAAAATATTCCTATTGCTTAAGCCAGTATTAGCACCATGCTAACAAATTTGTGGTCAGCACCCTATCCTTTACCAACTAGGGGTCAACGGTGCGGTTCGACTTGTGCCGCACCACATTGGTATAAACTGAATCGTACTGCAAATTAATTGAACCGTGCTGCAAATAGACCGCAAGCTAACAGGTGTGGTCTAACCAAACCGCATAAATTAGCGATTTGTTGTGGTTTGGATTGCAACCGCATGTATGAGCGTAGAGTGCAATTATCTCAAAAGAGGAAATTGGTCATATCATCTGAGTTCGAGGATTCTCTTCAGATTTGGATCATATCAAGTGGTATCAGGAGTCCGGTTCAAACTCACCTGCGATTTGAAGATTACCGGTTCAAACTCAACGGCGATTTGAAGATTACTAGTTCAAACTCAGCGGCAAAACATAATATTTCTTGAAGGTATTTTTTCCATTAATTGCTAGAGAAAAAAAAAACTATTGTGATTTTCGTTTCTTTTGTTTTGTAAAATAAAAAAGAGAAAAAAAGTCATTGTCTTTCTATTACGTAGTGAAGAGTTAAAAGTAAAAAAAAAAAAATTTAAAAGTTAATCAGCCACAAAGCTGATCGTGAGTAGAAAAAAAAAATTGTTGTGTTTTTTGTTTGTGTGGTTCTTGTTAGCCTTTGAAAATAAGGAATAGAGTAAAATCAACAATTGATGGAGATGATGAAGCAAATGCTCAAGACTAGGGAAGTTATTCTTCAAGGGTTAGAGGGGAATAATGCGCCAGCAATGGTAATCCAACCCGCAGCTCCTTTGATGATAGGGAGCCCAAATCTAGAGCAAGATCTCGAACAAAGGGAGAATCTATTTCACACAAGATGCTTAGTATATGGTAAGCTACTATCAATTGTGATTGATGAAGAGAGTTGCACTAATTTGGTGAGTGAATATTTGGTGAAGAAATTGGGGTTAAACACATTGAAACATCCAAAATCCTACACTCTTCAATGGCTTAATGAAAATGGACCAATTAAGGTCACCAAGCAAGCCATATTGAAGTTTGAGATTGGAAGCTATAAAGATGAAGTCCTTTGTGATGTGGTGCCAATGGAAGAGGCTCATGTTTTGCTTGGAAGACCATGACAATTTGATGGAAATGGACAACAAGATGGAGTCACCAAGTTTCGCATAGAGGTCAGAAGTTCGTATTAAAGCCTTTATCTCCGAAAGAAGTCTATGAGGATCAACTTCAAATGCAACAGAATTTGAAAAAGGATAAAGAGTTTCAAGCCAAAATAGTAAAGGAAGTCAAAGAAGACGTGGAAGAGAAAAAAGAGGTTCTTGTTGATGGGCATACTATAGTCACTTGTGAAGAGGATTCACAAGCTTTGATTTCATCTCGAGAAGAACCAAAACTTGAAGTAGAAGAGAGAGTCGAAGAAGAGGTAGAAGAAGTAAAAGGAGATATTCTTGTTGATTTTCCAGATTTGAGTGCGCAAGAATTTAAGCAATACATTGAGGAATCAGAATTCAAAGGCGAAGATGAATGCTTGGAAGTTATGGAGGATTTACCAATAGTAATTGAAGTTGCTCATATTGATTTTATGATTGGTGATACAATGTTAGAAGAGGCAGCCCACCGGGAGAATCGACAAGAAATTCCGTGCAACGTAGAGAGCTTTGGTGTCTCTGCAATTCGTGGTCGAACCGTCTTCATGAAGGGGAGAATAATACGACCCTCACTACCAAGAAAATTTTGTTGTAAGACCAAGAAGAATGGTGGTGACCGGCGATCAAAATTATGCAAAAATTCTTAAAGCGATTTGGGGTTGGGGTTTGACTGTGTAGTGTTTCCATATTCAATCAACATTTGATCATCCCCTGCTTAAAGGACACAAACCCTTGGTTGGTTGATCCACAAATTCCTCTCTCCCTATTTGTTTACCCAGAAAATGAATGACCCACTAGACAGGCCGAAGGGCAATGAGACATCAGGAACATAGCGATATCAGAGATCTTCCAACAATGGCACGATTCAGGGGAATCATGCTCTGAAGACGTTGTACCAATCCGAAGAAGCATTGAGAAATCAAATTTCATCACTCATTCCCTACTTCCTCCTCCTCATTTGTCTTACCATGGAGGTGGGAAGTCGCATGAAGGCCACCAAGCCATTGTTGGAGGCAGAGCAGAGAAAGAGTAGAGCCTTCCATTCCACAAACTGTTTTGTTCGCCGTTAAGTACGATTGGGTGCCAATGGCCTGCGGTAGCATCGGAGTCATCATCCACACAATGAAAATTGCAACACGGTTTTTACTGTCCGGACATGCAGTTTGCGATTTTAAACTGCAACTGCACAGTTTTGGATTAAACTGACCACGAACTGCTAAAAATTAAGACCACATAGTAGACTGTATGTCTTATGTACTACTTGGCTCAACAGGAAAAGCGATTCGATACAGTTTGAAGCGGTTTGATCATAATAATGCCCACCCCTACTGCCAACTCATCATCCTATCTTATACTTATTTAAACCATCACTTTGTGCTAATATTACTATGAATATGAATATGTTTTGCATTTCATCACAAGAAAGTATGAGCAAAACAGACTCCAACCTTTTAATGCCACAAACCTGAGTACAAAATTACCTTTCTCACAATCACATCTAAGCAGACCATTATGGAGCAAACTTAGCATATTAGAAACACTTTACATGACTTTATGAATTTTGTGTGTTCTAACTTATGAATTCATTCCGGTGGGTGGGTAACAACTAATTCGTGCATCTTACGTAGAATTTTCAAAACAATTATGTTAGATGTTTATGACCGGTCTAAATTATTTTTCATCGATTCTGGAGTCCTAGACTTCTCAAAATCAATTTGACAACATCCTTAATTGGGCCGAGAAAATTGTAATTTACTTGTTTTGTAGTTAAATAGGCAATCCCGGTAATATATGCTAGTTTTGGCAATACTACATCGATATGATGTTAGTTGAATATTTTATTTTACAACGACACTATACTTATATATATTATCAATTCAATCGCAATTCTACCATTAAAATATTACTTTGCTAACCTATCTGGTAAGACTTTCGATATGATTTTACAAATCTTGGAGTGATCATATTTTTAAAATCAATATTACATGATTGTATTGTCAGTGAGGCAATTGTTAGTGAGTGTTTATGAAATAAACCTGAAAAGGATATGGAGTTTTAGTGCTTTAGAGAGAGAGAGTTGTGACATGGCAGAGAGAGGAAAAGCAAGAAAAGAGAGAGAGAGAGGGGGGTGGAAAAAGGAGAAAAAGGGGACAGCACAGCAAAGGATAAATCTTTCCAAGCAAATGTGGTGGGGGAATTGGAATCAAATACAAAAATTTCCTCCAAAGATCTCATAGCGCACCCACATAAATTTGTGGCTGAAAACATTTCCCACTTTTGCCTGCGTGGCATTCCCCACCTGACCCCTCCTTCCTTTCCTTATATCTTTCTCCTTCCTTCCTCTTCGTCTTCTTATTCAATCCTCCATCCCTTCTCTGCCCCAACCAAACCCATAATCTAACCAATAAAATTTACTCAGAGAGAGAGAGAGGTAGCAAGAAGGTTTTTCTGAAGTCTTAACTGAAAAAGTGAGAAGGGAAGTCAGTCAGTCTTGAAGACTTTTGCTGTTGTTATACCCTTTTCAAATCCTCCTCTCTTTCCGGTCCTTCGATTGCTGCAGAGATAAAGGAGAGGGGAAATCGAGAGCCACCAAAAGGGGGAAAACAGATGACGGATTTCAAACTTTTTGGTCAGATGATTCCGCGGCCACTCCGTAATCAACTTCAGCAGCAGCAGCAGCAGGGGAATCTGGGGCAGAGGATGGAAGTCGTTGATGTTTCCGCCTCTTGTTCTTATGCTGGTGACCCCAGTCCGGCGGCCGCGGCTGCGGAAATCGGCAATCGAGATGAGCGTTGCGATGGAGATAAAGATGAAGATGACTGTACAAGTTCTGGAAGTGAAGGAGAAGGAGGAGGAGATGAGCGTGATGAAAACATGGTATTTTTCTGCCCCCTCCTTTTTTTTTTACTTTTGCCTCTGGTTCTTGGTGTTGATTGAATTTAATCGACCTTTTTTCGTGATTCTGGTTGTAACCCAATCCTTATCAAGCTTGAACCTATGATGGGTTGGTCTGAGATTTTACAGATTCATTTTGGGTCCGAAAGAATTTTACCTCCAATTGTTTTGTTCTATAACTGGTTTTGTTTCATCTTTCTGAATTGTGGGGAAGAAGAGAACGTGCTGCTTTCAATGGATTGGATATCAGATCAATCAGTTTCTCACTTAGTCGTCTGTCAAAAGATCAGACCAGTTTAGGACAAACCCAGAACGAGACCTCTACTAAGAATTCTCTGTTTCCTAAGCTAGGGCTGGGAATTTTCTTGGCAGATTCTCGTGGTTAATGCTTTCTCAAAGTTGTAAATTCTTGTTTTTGTCCATACGTTAGTGTCACAATTGGTATATGCTGCAAATCCACTTAGTTCTGTGGCCGGACTTGAACCCAAAGAACTTCACTTGGTTTCTGTTGTCTAACTTCAAACCTCTGGCTATCAACAGGAAAATTCAGGAAACGATGAAATTACTGACGAGAATCGCCCGATCGGGGCCTCGAATGGGGATTCGAAAGACCCCAACCCTGCATCATCGTCATCATCAGCAGGAATAAACCAGAGAGACAACACGGCTGCTACCAACACCGATAAACCCGGCCAAGACAAAGGCGGCAAGAGCGATCAAAGTGGCGAGGCAACAAGCAGCAGCTCGCTAAACCAAGACAACAAAACCTTGAAAAAACCAGACAAGATCTTACCTTGCCCTCGATGCAACAGCATGGAGACCAAATTCTGTTACTACAACAACTACAACGTCAACCAACCCCGCCATTTCTGCAAGAACTGCCAGCGGTACTGGACTGCCGGTGGCACGATGAGGAACGTGCCAGTCGGTGCTGGACGGCGGAAGAACAAGAGCGCTTCTTCTTCGCAGCAGTACAGGCAGATTATGGTCTCGGAGGCCTTGAGATCAGCAGCTGCTCAATCCCATGTCTTGAGTGGCAGTACTACCGTCTTGAACTTCCGGTCGGATTCCCCTCTTTGTGAATCCGTGGCTTCCATCTTGAACCTCTCGGAGAATGCGCAAGCCGGTTTCCACCCTCGTGGTGCTCCTTCAGGGGCTGCTAATGGTAATGATAACGGCGATGGGTGCTCAAGTGGAATGTCGGTTACAGGTTCGACAAATTCATCCGACAAAACGGGGATCATCAAACATGGTTCATCAGGGGGAAGTTGTCTCCCATGTATGCCAGCGGCTCCTTGGCCTTACCCCATGGCAACTCCGATGCCTCCGCCTCCACTGATGGGGTTTGGCCCTCCAGGGTTCCCGATTTCATTCTATCCTGCATCACCTTACTGGGGATGTGCGGTTCCTAGTCCATGGACTGGAGCACCACCACCACAGCAACCATGTCCGTCTTCCCTAAGCCCAAATGGTTCAAGCTCAGGGTCAAGTCCGGTTACATCTCCACTGGGGAAGCATTCGAGGGATGGCGAGACCACGAGGGCAGAGGGATCATCGGATGAACCGTTGCGAAAGATGAGCAATGGGATTGTTGTTCCCAAGACGTTGAGGATCGATGATCCTAATGATGCCGCAAAGAGCTCCATATGGGCGACGCTGGGGATTAGTCAGAGTGAAAAGCCTAGCTCCATCAATGGAGGCAGTATGTTTAAGGGATTTCAGGCGAAGGGCGGAGATAGAATTCAAGGAAACGGGACATCTCTAACACTGCAGGCTAACCCTGCTGCTTTGTCAAGGTCTCTCAACTTCCAGGAGAGGAATTAGAAGGGTACTGTTGTTAGCAGCCAATGGAGATCTTATAGAGAGAGGAACCATGGTGGGGTTTTTTTTAGACAGATGCGGCGCGCTTCCTTTTCTGTTTTCTCCTTCTAGCTTCATCAGACACAGATGATGAGTTAGAGTTCTCCTCAAATGTTGAAGATGAAGATCAGCAGCTTTGTGATGTATGTGCAGCAGCCATAGAAGAGTTCCTTTGTGCCTTAATCTTTTTGTGCCTTTCTTGTGTACATAATATATATGTTAATGTAGCATGAAAGCAAGAACCATTCTTTATGGTATTCACTGTCCATGATCATGAGATACAAATAAAACTGCAATAAAAAATCTTATAGCATTTCCTCCACACTTTTGGTTCTGAAGATATGATGGTCAGCTAAGATTTCCAGTGGAAGTACTTGAAGGGAAATTGGGCAATTTGGCAATGATTAGCAATTACACTATTAGCTTGTGCGAAGTTCGTCAAATCTCCAAGAAATAACTGCTGATTGATGAACTGCTGCTGGTCCAGAATTGGGAGCAGATAAAGCTTTGTAGCTATTCTAATTTATGTCATTTTTGCTCATGGATTATCTGAAGCTTTCATGGACATTAAAAGGGCAGGAACTCCAAATCCGAAAGTAAGAAAAAAGGACAGCTGCTGCAAAATTCCTCACAGTAAAGAAAAAAGGCTATTCCTTTTGCTTGCATCTTTGATTTTCTTTTTCCTTTTTTTGGGCATTCTGATCTATCAAACTTGAAAGCCAACACGAAAGTAACATTTTGCAGACAGAGATCAATTCAGAAAGGGGCCCAAGGCATGTGATGCTTTCCTCCTCTCACACCTGCAAGATTAATGGCCACATAAATTTATTGCCTTTTTCTAAAAAACTTTTGTTCCATACATATAAATTTTATTTTTGTATGGATGTGTTGAACTTTTGAATGAAGTGAACGAGTGGAGGATGATGGAATTGAAGGAACTTATTGACTATCATATTCGGGGAGATATGAGAAGGAAAAAAAGAGTATTTACATGGAAAAACTCACGAAGAACATCTTCAATGATTTGGAGTTCGAATGTTAGGTAGATATGACATTCCAGCTCCATCAAAAAGAGTTTTGCTGACAAAGTGCCAATTTTCTCAAGTTTTACCTTTTTGTCGTAATCTAATATGGTGTAGAATTCATCAATTTATTTAAATAATTCGTTCATTATTTTTATATAAGTAGCGATAACTAATTTAAAAAAATATTTTAATGTAGATTTTTCTCGTCATTAAACATGACTTCATCAATGACGGAAACTAATTATTGTGCTTAGATGACTATGGATTCATCACATGTTTGTTGAAATGAGTTGTGCTTCATTCAGTCGTGGATTGAAAATGGCCGATGAAACCATCCTCCAAATGTTGGGTAGATTTGACATTCTACCTCCACCAAAAAAAAGTTTGCACCAATGGTGAGAGGCAAAGTGCAAAAATTTTCAAGTTAAACTTTATTTTCATAATCTAGTTTAGTATAGATTTCATCATTTTATTTAAATAATAATAATATTATTATATAGGTAGTGAATAGTAATAACTATTAAGATAAACATTTTTTTTATGTAAACTTGTTTTTTGATCATGATGTAAACTTTTTTTATTTGGATAATTTCTTTATTAAATATGGCGTCATCAATAACCAGAATACACTAATTAGTTTAGGTGATCATGGATTCATCACATGTATGTCTGAATGAATTGTGATTCCAATTCACTTCCAACATTCAGTCATAGATTGAGAATGGTCGATAGAACAATCCTCCAAAATGAACACAAACAATTCAGTCGTGAAGTTTATAGATAATTTTGAAAATCTATATGGTCGTGTGAGTGAAACTGGATGGATGAAACACAATTTAGCTTTTTTCTTTGGTTCCATATAAACAATTAACCACTTATAGTTGGTTGTTTTGACATGCTCACTGATGCATCGACATCGAGCTTTATAATTTATAGCTCGGATAATCAACAATACCAACTTCCCCAATCTAGGACAGGTTCACCCTAGATTGGCGAAGCAACATAGTGGTAACCGGGGTCGTATTCCTCGGGAATTATAGGTATACCACTCTCGATCTCAGTCCTATTATCTAGTCAATTGAGATGTTTGGGGGTTGAGTGTGAACTAAAATAACTAATCAAAGAACAAAACAAAGCTAAGTATGAGGGAGATCATAAGAGAAAGCTTGTTGTTGAGTTTGGCTCCCTCTAGTAATAAGTTGACATAGGATGAATGCAAGTTAATGAAGGATTCCCTATCTTCTAAGTTGCCAGAAATTACTAGACTGGTTGTCGCATTAATGATCATATCATCAATGGCCATGTAATTAACTAGATACCCAGAGCATTAGGTCTAGACTATCCAATGGAATTAATACCCATGAAAATGAAAATTTGACTCAATAATAATGTAAATCCCACAATGCTTGATGTGTGATCTATTAAGGGGATGATAATCTCAACTTAGGACAAGAACAAAGCAATATCCAACTTTAGTGAAGCAAGAGATTGATATAATTAAACATCAAATAAGCATAGATAGATAGGTTCACAATCATTCTAACATACAAACCCATAAGAAATCTACAAGTTATAATTCATCTTCCTAAATGACAAGGGAAGTTATAACAGAGAGAGTGTGTGTGTGTGTGTACAAGGATTAAGAAGGACACCAATCTTGAACTAGATCCATATTCTCCTTCTTGACTTGGTCACCCCTCTTCAATCTTGGGAGGATTTGGCGTTAGGATGAGGAAGAAATCACCCAAAACCTCTCCAATATTGGAGGTGGTATTTAGTTAGCCGATTGACAGTTAAACGGGTTACCGAACTGATAACTGACGGTTATCATTTATATCCTTAACCGGAGGCATCAGATGCAGTGGGGAAAATCCAACTATCAGTATACCGACTTAGATCGGTTAATAACAGAGAGTAAATTGGTATATCGGATATACCGAATACACGTGTTTAATCTCCCCTCCCCCCTTTATCTATGCCCTATTCTCTCCTCTCCAAACCCCATTAACATAACCTCACACTCGTCTCTCTCAAAAAGCAATATCTCCTCTCTGGGATGGCTCATGCAAATCGTGACCTGAGCTCCATATCTTCTCATGCCTTAAGCTGCTGACTTGAGTCCCTACCTCAACTCTCTTTGCTCATTTGTGAAGGCAAGAGAAGCATCAACTAGAGAGAGGTGCCAATGAGAGGCTTCGCCTTCTTCCTTCCAGAGTCTAAAAGGTAGAGTTTTCGTCTTCGTTCCTAGTCACGATCCCAACCTCTGCCTTCTTCCTTCCCGAGTAAAAAATGTAGAGTTTTCATCTTAGTTCCAGAGTTCATTCCAAATCTCCTATCCTCTCTGTCTTCATCTTTCTCCTTCACACCGTGGGAGCTCTTAATTCCTTAGAAGTGATGGCGGAGCTGTTGGGATCTTGCGGTGCTGCCGGCTTCTATTGCTGATTTTAGTGGCATCAAAGATGAAGAAGAAAGGCTCGCATTCATCACTGGCGTAACACCTCCACAGATAACCGTATACACAAGCGATGACTGCATTTGTGAGGGAGATAGAGAGCTTCCGCACACTGGAGCTGTTGATCTTCCTCAGAAGTTTCCATAGTCGCTTGTTTTTTCTACTCTCCGTGCTATACAGTGAGTCGGTCAGTTGGGGAAGAAGGCAAAGATAAGAGGGAGCCTTACAAGGTTTTACAGATAACCGGAACGGAAACTGTTACATGTAAGCTGGTTAACCAGCAGTTACTTGGTACCGGTTGTCGGCAGCAAATTTGGGCATCTCAACATATCAATAATCGGTAAGTCGGTAACCTGTTATACTAATACCGAACGATTACCAGCCCTATTCTAAACTTGTCACTCTCACTCTATATCTCTAACCCTATAATTTTCTCTCTCTAGTATGCTTTTTTTTGCTCTACAACAGCTCCAAGTACTTATTGACCCGCGCACATGTCAAAGTTCACGGCCTAGAGTTAGAGGGAGTTCACGGCCGTGATCTTGGACAAAATCCTATGAACACTTAGAAGGAGAACATTCACAGTAACACCTTGGAAATCCATGGTCATAACTTTTGGTCGTGACTTAGTTCATGTATGACCTTATGAAGATGAAAGTTGTGAATTGATTTTCGTAGCCGTGAACTTATTCTCGCGGTCTAGCCCTTCGTGTCCGCGATTCGGACAGTGAGTTCTTTTGCTCACACACGGCCGAGGAATGAGAATTCACGGTCTAAGGTAGTGAAATTCACGTCCATGAATTGTATACTAGGGACCGTTAATTTGACACTTAGTCTTCTTTCCATCTTCTTTTCACCCTTCAAACGACTTCTGACTGGCACGAAACTTTGCATACCCCTTCCTTAATTTGCTAGGACTTGGGAATAGTCTAGAACAAGATGAAAATATACAAGCTACGAGCAAAAATGATCAAGAAACATAAATTCATACCAAAACTTAGGGTATGAAGATATGAACCAATAGTTCTCGCAAAATCAGAAAAAATGAACACATGATTCCCATTGTTGGTGTTATTTATATTTTCTTTTACCAAGTTTCCCATAGACGTTTAAAATGGTTCTTAATTTTAATGGTCGATATTTTAATAGAATTTTTTTTGCCAAAGATATTTCGAAACGAAATAAGCCAGATACGAATAAGTACATGACCGAAATCAGCCAAATTAAACAAAAACATAAAGTGCTCTGGTCAATAGTTGTTGAACCAACGAAGAGAGGGCAATTTTTTCCACGATATGGTAGCCCTTGTCACTTAACGACATGGACAATATCATGATTTCTTCTCTTAAAAGGATCAAAATCATGAACTAACCATGCTGAAAATTGAAGCAGAAAAGCAAGCCTATGCAGATCTAGCTGCAATTAAGCACATAGGCCCGTAAAAAGCCTCCATTGAATATCTCTCTAGTCATGCAAAATATCTTAATAGAGTTGAATAACTTACATAATTTTAAACCAATTTACTGTAATATATCCTAATTACACAAAAAAATCCTAACTGATTACTTCCACTTTAATTCCAAACTAAATTTGACCGAAAATCCAAAATTTCGATTTATTATTAAAGATTGTTAAACCCCTATTGGACCCCCGGCTGTACCTGATTCGACCTAATTCGGACTTCAAAACGACCTTCAGAAAGCCTCCCTGTCTGACCCCTGAAGAAGGAGAAGAAGAGAGGGCGAAAATACGAAGAGGAACGATGGAAGGTAGATGGTGGGTGGGAAATGGATGTTAGATAGATTTATTTTTTGGTAAATAAGTTTTTAATAGATACATGTAAGATA